TTTATGAAATAGTAGTTCAATAAAGTTTTGAATGCAAGTCAACAAACGAGATGACATAGCCTTTCACCTGTGACCTGTATCAAAAGGGTCAAATTGCATGCTCAATCCCATTTTGACATGGCCTTTCAACTGTGACCCTTATAGAAAGGGTTAATACTGCTAGATGAGTGTACAGGATCCTGTTTCATTATATCTTATTCTTCCATCCTTCTCTTGTTTGCAGTGATGCTTAACAGGTTGAACTTCTAGTTATGCACCATTGTGTATATTTTATGGCTTGAAACCTAGTATAAAATCAAAGCAATTTTATTTAGAGATGCTTGTTGAGCACATGTACTGTCAGTCAACTATAAGATTTAGCACTACACAAGAAACTGGCAGAACTCCATTGCAAAAAAAAGTAATGCCTAGCACTTTTAGAAAAACCGGAAGAGCATTTTAAATTTTGTGAAAGCAGTAAGTGCTTGTCTTTGCTTTAAAATAATTTTTCAGTAATGAAATCTATGCAAAAGAAATCAACATCTACTCAGTGGTTGTAAGTTTAATATGGTTTTTGATTACACCTTTGACTGATAGGTTTATCGCACTAACATTACAATAGGCCGACTTGGTCAAGTAGGCCTAGAAGACTAGATTTAACAATAAATAGTTTGAGATAATGCTAGTCACTCAGTAAGGTATTGGTAGAAGATAATTTTTCTGCCCGTCATGTATATATCAGCTTATAAAATATTCTCTTTTTATTTTCTTGTAACTAACTAGGATGTAAAGCATAAACATACATTTTTGCACACTCATAACTTATAAATGGAAAGTGGAAATTTACATAAAGTTTTAGGATATATAGTATATATAGGATATGTATTTAGTATACATCAGCTTATAAAATATTCTCTTTTATTTTCTTATATGAATTTTTTCTAACTAGGATGTAAAGCATAAACATACATTTTTGCACACTCATAACTTATAAATGGAAAGTGGAAATTTACATAAAGTTTTAGGATTAATAGATCAAAGAAATGAAATATAAAATTATCTTTTGTCAATTATTATGCATTGTGACAAGAGCTTTTAAAATTCTGGGAGCAGACATTTTCTACTATGATTTAAGCTGGTAATGGGTATAACACACTCATTATTTGCTTTGTAAAGGTCTGCTTGTGTTAAAAATAGAGGTCTGGGAAGAATTTGTAGAGAAAATTCAGATCATATTAATCATGCAATGCTGAAACAGAATACTTTCATGGAAAATAACCTGTGATGGTGTTATTCAGATTATATATTACTTTTCAATATATCATTTACAAACTTTTTAATTAAGTATTTTTACTAATAAATTGATATGTGAATATCAGAAAGTTGACTGCTCCAGTTGCAAAGTGATTTTTTGTTAAGATTAAAAATACTTTTCTTTATTTGAAAATTGTGAAATTTCTTGTGACAATCTATAAAATCTTGTAAATAAATGTTTTTTTCCAGGAAAACTATATTTTATTTGTTATGTTCTCTACTCTAACTCTACACATATTTGGTCAATTTGACTAACCTCATAACCACCATAAAAAATATGAAATACATCTAAATTATTTTTTTTTTTTCTAGACTCATTGTAACATGTAACTATAATTCTTTCTCTTAAATAGCTTAAAGCCCATAACAGTATACATCTGTTTATACTTAATTTTATTGTTTTATTGCCCTTTGAACTGTGTCCAACTAATAATCCTTCTAGACAAGTTGTAAATCACTCAGCAAATGTGCAGCTTATAAAAAAAAAATCACTCAGTAGAGTGCAGCTCATGTAACTATTGAATTAGGTGACCCACAAGCATATCTCATGAAGAACCTTTTTATATTTTTTTTCATTGTCTTACCTAATTTAACCTTATCTAACCTAATAATTTTCTATTTTTTACATTTTAGTTGTTTTTGTGATAATAGATAAAGGATACACATGAAAAACAAGAAATATAGTACTGATCTGCTTCCTCTTTTTTTTTGGGGGGGGGGTGTTTATTGCTCATGAAACTAAAGCCTACTTTTTTATACTAATGGTACTATTAACTAAATGATTTTTATTTAGTTCAATAATGCACCTAAGAACACAGAATAATATGCACAAAGCAAACAATAAAAATTCAGCTAAGCTTGTAAATGTGAATATAGTGTGAAACACTTTCAAACTGGAGATGAAATAGACAATTCTCTGTACAGAAAACAGCACAATATAATACATTATTTGACAGATTAAAACTTTTGGTTTTCTATTGGCTATAAATAATGTAGTATAAAATGTCAGAGAGAACTACTGGCAATTTGTGAAAGAGAAGATGTGACAGGTGGGCATGGTAAGTGGGTCTAATTTTCTAGTTTATGCTCCAATAACATATAAATTGATGGCTATAAAAATTATGCTTTGTCTGAGTAATATTTATATTAGAATTAGTAATTTACAGTGAATTTCATGCTCCTTGGAGGGGTGGTAAATAAATGAGCTGAGGGAAGACCTAGAGAGCAAATGTCACAGTTCTCATACTAGGGGAGATTGAGGATTTTTCTAAATGTTTACTTTTAAAATTAGGAGCTTAAAATATGGTATATTAACTACATTTTGATGCCAAGTTTATTTGCATACAATGATAATAAAGTAGTCTAATAAAATTTTGAATGTAATTCTAAAAGGTTGTGATGTGTTCACTTTGACCTACCTGAAGCAAGACAATTAAATATTATTTAAACCTGACATTCTTGTATAGGGATTCAATTCACCTACTCATCCATACATGTGTCTGTAATATTAAAAGCTTAATTTACTTTTATTACGATTTTTGGATCATGTTTCAATAGTACATTTTGACTTTTATATTTACAGAGGAGGACATGGATATACAGATGAAGATCAGTTCATACCATTTGACCCACCCTTTGTGTCAAAGTATGGTCCTATATCCCGCAAGATTCGACCTCAACATATGCTTCCAATACAAGTGAGTGTAGCCCAAATTGGTGCTTTAACAAACCCCACCAGTGTGATGCGTCATCCTTTGTCTGCTGCTACTGCTGTACCATCTATTTTCACTCCAGCACCCCAAGGTGAGACATTATATAGAACTGGTTTTGGAATTCATCATTCCTTTAAAGATGTTAACATTTTTATTTTGGTTGAGCTATAATATTTTTTATACTAATATTTTCCAGGATTTTATGTCATTTTACATATGCATATGGCATTGGGTAAGTGGGAAAATGATAACAAATACTTGCTTTAATAATTAAATACAAGCATAGTGTTTAACCCTCTTGACACGGGTACCCCTTTTAAACACTTTTCTGTGCAAGTCACCGTGTTACATTCAAAATTTAATTAAACACCTTTACTATCAATGTATGTGAATGGAATTGACATTATAATCTATGTTATAATTCAAAGTTTTATGTTATCTAAGTTTAAGTCCTTTAATTCAAAATATGAAAACTAAAGATGAAGAAAAGTATTTTTATACTTAAAATGAAAATCACCTTGCACTTGAACTATTCAGAGTTTGAGTGCAAATAACTACCATAGATAAATGTAATTAAAATAATGTCATATTTGTGTTCAAGATACTTATCTTTAATAAAATATTACCAGGTCTTGTGAGGACATCTCAGAGTTATCTTGTGTGTTGTTGCACAAATGTCCTTCCTCAGTCGAGGTTATGTGAAATATATCACCCCGTTGCGAAAGGGTTAACATGCAGTTAGTATTAGTTGTCTGAAATGTACACAGCCTAACACCAAATAAATAAACAATCCTTTCTCTTCAGAATACAAATCAACTATCTCCATGACATCACATACAAATGATCCAAAAATATGAATACAAGTACAGCTTCATGCTAAAGACCACAGAATACAAACAGTCGTGCCACAAATGAATGGATCTTTGAAATTAACCATATTTTCACAAGGTCTTGTAGTTGATCAACAGGAAGGCAGTCAAAGTCAACAAGAAACCACTAGGTTACTTACAATACCATATTCTACAGTGAATAGGATGACAGTACAATTTTTGTCATGTTGGGAAAAAGATGGTTTTTGCACTGCCAAGGCATCCAAAACCAATAGAACAACAGCTGCTTCGTGCTTTGAGGAAAAGTGTTGAAAATGATCCACATAAAACTGTAGCTACTATTTCAGGACACATGCAAGTGTTCCCCAGTACCAACGGGAGTTACCTTCATAGCATAGCTAGATAGAAGATACTTCTCATCCCAGGCATTATCTTTGTCAACATGGTGGGCATCACAAATGCTATAATCTTCTTGCCTTTTTGGATGGGGACACTATAATTTTTCCAACAGGTCCAGATTTTAAAAATTCTCAGGCAATGGATGCACCTGGGTTTATCAACTATCCTCTTAGCTGTGGACAGTAGGAGATAATAGTATCTAGTAGGATGGGTCACTGTTGCCTGTACATCAACCTGGGTTTATCAACTATCCTCTTAGCTGTGGACAGTAGGAGATAATAGTATCTAGTAGGATGGGTCACTGTTGCCTGTACATCATTATTCTTGAACAAGGCCTCCTACGTGTCTAAACCAGTGATTAACTTATCAGACAAGGCAGTCTTTTCAGGCAAGATTGGGTTCTGCTTATTCAGCTCGAGTCAGAAAATGATGGCTGACCATTTATCAGATTGATTGTTCCCAGCAAAAGCTTCTCGAAAAATTAACTTCTAGGAAATGTTCATCTAATTTTTGTCCAGGAATTGGGGTCAATCTCACAGGCTCAGATTTTGTAAATGTAATGTTTATCTGTTTTTGCTACATTGCAAAGGGCAGATCTGCTAAATACTAATGGTCATCTTGTACCATTTTTTTTGTTTCATGCTTATTTGTTTAATGAAATAGCATTCTTTCTTTGGTGGATTGTATATGTTTTTGTGCTGGACCCAAATATTTTCATATTTTGGTTCAGTTCATTGCAAATAGTGCTAAACAAAAACAAACTATAGAACAAAAATACATAAGTGAAGGTTAGTTTGTTGAATGAAAGCTTTAAAGTATGATATACTAGCCAGAGATTCATGTCTAGCAGAAAAGAAGTAGGTAGTATTTGTGTAAAGCTGACAACCTGTTTAATGATATACTAGTCTTGGAAGAGATTTGGTGATGTACTGAAGTTAGAGGGTAAATTCCATTTTCTATTTAATATATATGTATATATAATATGGACCTAGTCATGTTAAATATCATTATGTTGTTCATTCAAGTACGAAACTATTATCAAGGCTGAAAAACCGACTTTGAGAGACAAGTTGTACATACTACTACTAGTGGATTGCATTTATATTAATGTGTTTTTTTTTATGTTCATGATATCAGAAAAACGTTTAGTTCAAGAAGTCTTAATATAAAATGCTAAAAACTTATAACCCTGAAGTAAAAAGGTCCTCCTTTCGAAAGCACTCAGGTTATAGGGTTTTTATCATTTTAAACTAATCTTATGTATGGTCTTCAGATGCTCTCAAGGGCTGCAAGATATTTTTACCATTCATAAGACAAAACTTATTCTCTTGAATGAAAACTAGTTGTGTATAAAACATATTTTACAATGCAGCAGAGCCTCAAATTAACTTCTTGAGGGCTGGCACGTTTTGGCTGTAGATTTTTCAACAATTAGTTACATTCTCATTAACTTATAAAACCTCAATATCAATGGGTTTATAAACCATTGGATAAAAAGATTAAATCTAGTGAAAACAAGTTTTTTCATTACTTTTTTTATATACATTTTATAATTTTTCAAAATATAAATGTATATTTTTACTTATTGTGCTATGTCTTTTACATTAATCTTCTAAACTATTAGAATTTCAAACCTTACAATCTAAAGTTTGAAATAAAAATTCATGTATTAACGTTAAAAACCATTCAGAACTACTCTTATCCCTCCTTCTGTTACGTTTTGTTATAGTTTCACATTGAAACTTGTGTGTAGTCCCATATTCTGTGATCTGTAATAGTAAATTAGTAGAATGAGATGCTGCACGACACAATGTAAAACATTTTATGTTCTTAAACCATTCTAAATGTTTTCCAAATTTTAAACTTCTCTTCTAATGTTTTAATAATCATTTGTTTATTTATTTTTTACTCACATTTATGTGGCAGGTTTTGCTGTACCTTTTGCATTTATCCCTACTGGACCAGAACAGTTTGTTCCAGTGGGAGCAGTAATGGAATCCTCTCCTATAGTTGTTCCATTAAACATGGAATGTGAACCTCTATCAACTTTACACACTACGTAAGTACTACATCACTTCAGTATTGAGTAGTTAACTTGTAACATTGATTTCTAACTGAAAAACAATTGTTTCCCTTATTCTGTCTCAAGTATCTGCAGAGCAATGTGCATTAAACCATTTCAGGTACAGGTCAGTATTTGGTTGAAAAAATTACTTTGTAGTTTACTTAAGAACCATTTTCACTTAAAATTTAGAATGTATCAGAATTCAAACAATCAAATGTGACACAATCCTAACTCTTTTGCTGACATTGCAATGGAAGGGAAAGAGTAAACAAGTCTTTAATTTGAAATCCTAATTTTATAGGTAGTTTTCAGATTGTTGGCTTTGAGTGTTTCATACATTGAACTAATAACTTTAAAAATTTCATTCTCATTAAATTGCATTGATAGTAATAAATTTATGTTTAAATTGTTTTACTAAATGTAACTTGCCAAAACAAAGAAAGAAATTTATGTGATATGAGAGAGAGAGAAGAACAGACTTAACCCTTTCTCAACAGGTTGGTCAAAGTGTGCATATCATGATCTTTTACAGAGTTACATTTAGAATTTGATTAAACTACTTTATTATCAATTTATATGAATAAACAATAAAACTTGGCATCAAGTTAAGAAATCAAATTGTAATATTATATAAGTTTTAAGTTCTTAATTTCATAAGGAAATATTTTAAAAAATCCTCCATTTCCTCTAGTATGAGAATTGTGACATTTGTTCTCTAGGTCTTCTCCCTTCTCTAATTTATTTATCACCTCTGAAGTATGGAATTTAATGCAAATTACTCATTATAATGTAGATATTACAAAGGCCTTCAATCTTTGTTTACAGAGTCATAAACTAGAAAATCAGACCCATCCGTTACATCCTCTCTTTCACATATTGCCAGTAAATCTTTCAAATGTTTTAAACTATTGAATGATGTATGATTCTACATTGTTTTCACTTCAGAATATTGTCACTTCCTTCAGTTTGAAAGTTTATTTAGTGGTGTTCAGATCAAGCAACTAAGGGAACTAATTTAAGAAGTAAAAATTACAAACTATAAGAGTAACTTCTGGACTGAATTTATCAACACAGCTAGTTACAAAGGTGTTTCTGATACTGAGTTATAGAAAGTTATCTTAAACAAATAATAATAATAAAAATCCAATCCATGCCGCTGCTTGGAAATGAATCTTAGGCCATGCGTACAATTTACATTTTCATACAGACAAGTATTTAAAATCTGACATGTCAAAAATTACTTGGAGTTATCTGTGAGAGACAGCTTAGACCCAGTAGGTTATTGCATCACTGCATTACCAATGACATTGTTCTGAGGAAAACAGATCATAGACTATTAATCTAAATATATATATATATTGTTGTTTCTCTTTAACAAAGTTTTTCTTCCTCTCTGTTTTAACTAGCTACTTATTTACCTGACTTAGCTAGCGAGTCAAAAATGAATTACAATACTTTTTTAAAATTTCCAAAAAAACTGACTTAGAATAAGAGAACTCATACATTAGTGTATTAGATGAGCTCACCATTAATGATTTATTTATTCATTTTAAATGCTGTGACTTTGTGTAGTTCTGTTTGAAAATTAACATTAGAATGAACCTTAATCCTAGTGTGATCAAAGAGTTTTCTTAAGTTGAATTTCAGATTTTTTAAAAATGTAGAAATTAAAACTATTTTCTTTCTGAATTGAGAAAATTACAAAAGTTAATAATTTTCCAGCTTTTTTCCTCTTAAATAAAAGTGTCAGATATACTATAGTTAAATACTCATGAATATTCAAGTCAAATTACTTATCTTTTGGCCTGACCACCTCAAAAAATATTACTGGAAGGCTTTAAATATTGGCTACGCACTTTCTAACCTTACATCAATTCTATTTCACTATTCAGCCCTTGTAGAAAATGTCCAAGCTAATTAGATGAAAATTTGATTCATATAAGAAAATGTTCTTGATCTGCATTAATAGGAAATAATATTCAATCAATTAAATACATACTTATATTTGTAAATATCTGAAAATTTATCAGCAATGATATATGTTGTTTTTTATTTTCAGTCAAGGTTTGTTTTTCAAAATATTTAGTAATTTTTTATGTGCTTTCATAATTGTCCATTTATTACAACAGGCCACAGAAAATCAAAATGTGAAATAAAGTCTAGACATTAAAATATTAATATTAGATATTTTAATTTATTTCTAACAATTTATGATTGTTTTCAACAGATAAAGTGTTTGAATTTTCTAGACTGGCTGCACATAATATATGTCAAGTAGGGACTCAGGAAATGGAACAGTTACAGAATACTGTGGAAAATTTTCAGGTATGTAAGAATTGTCTTTATTTTAAAAGAAATACTTGTATGTTGTCTTAAGAGCACTTTTGAACTGTCTTTCTTTAGGTCATGCCATCTAAGCAATGTTGTGACATTCCAATTAATGATTTATGGCCCTTTTACAAATATATTGAAGAAAACATGTAAACATATCAATCAGCTGTTGATAGGCCCAAATCTGTGAAAATGTTGTTCCTCTCTGAATCAGTTACTAAAAAAACATCTGTTTGTGATGCCAGAATATAAAAAAATGATGATGGGAATGGTTAAATGGATGGACATCCCATAACAGTGTGTCACAAAAAAAAATCACACTTGAAGATGAAGTTAAACATTTTAGTATTAACATAATACTGACTATCCTAACATTACTTATCAAGATGCAATTAGCAACCTGCTGACACTAACAGGTCTGTGTGATGATATATTGGAATGCCTAGATACTAACATTAATGTAACTATGGTGATGACCGTAATTTTAAATTAAATAGATCTAATATCTAGATACAGTCTTCCACAGTTTAATATGCTTAAAATTCAAGTAGCCCTACCATCCTTCTGACCTGTGTTGTTTAGCTTTAGGCCTAGGTTTAGAGATCTTAGTATTGTCTCACCCATAGGCCTACTAACTATAATACTGTTGACTTTTAAGGTCTTATTCTTGTAGTTTTCATATTTTGTATTGTAAAAAATCATGGTTGTTGAATTGTAAAAATTATACTGGTGACAATTTTTATGAGAGAACTTGTTTTTATTCCTTCAGTAATGAATGGAATTAGAACTGTGACTTGTGAATAAATTATAATTAGTAGTATCAGATATTATAAGAGATGGGTAGAGGCAACAACAACAACAACATATATGTTTTAATTCATGTGATGTATATAAGGTGGATTTTGGTGATTCTGATTTCCTGACTGTATCGAGGAAACTTACAAATATATTATGTAGATTAAATTTGCAATTTTTTCATTTGTTCAGGTTAAACTGTAAAATATGAATCTTTGTGTGAAAAAAAAAACAGATCAACCTGAAGTACCTTTCTGTACATTGTGCAGAAAGTGCACATTATTGCACACAGATTATTTTCTTCAGACAGATTATCTCTTTATAAGTTTTCGGAATCTATTACTAATGAACTGGTGGAATGTTAAAAGTGCACTTAATGTAGAGGGCAGTCATTTTTACTTGTAAAATGCTAAATATTTTATGGCTTCATGGGGACTTTGCCCCTGGACCCCAGTGGTGGGGTCCTCTGCAGCTCCCATACACCAGGCCTCTCCTCAGAGTTTCTGTCTTGGCAGTTTCACAGAACTTTCATCATGTTCAAGTGAATCTGGTGGTTCAGTGTTGGAGCAAGTTCATCTAGATGAAGGAATAAGTTAGCTTAAATGTGCATTGGTTGTATCTGTGAATGTATGCCAGTTTCACCATTGTGTGATTGAATTCAAATATAGTTGATTTTATAAAAACTTTTCTCTTATTGTCATAGGAACTTTGCAGACTTATTTCATCCCTTTGGAATCCATAAACTTTTCCAGCTAAATGACTTGTTGTGTGACTTAATGTAATGTTAAATGTTAAAAAAAAAGTTTTCTCCCTCAAAAGATTTCAAACATTGTCTGATTATTATGAGTTCCATGAATTTTTGCACTATTATCTAATTATCGTGATATTCTTGTATTTTGTTACCTATATCTGTACATTTTTTGTGTATTTGTCTTCCTTACTATGTTATGTTTTGCTTTCCTAACTTACACCCTTATTTTGTTCAGTTTTACAACATTATTAGTGATACATCTTGCTAGTTTTCTTGTAATATTAGACTCCTAATACGATTTTCTCATTTTATCTCTTCTGAGATAGTTCTTTATAAATACAAATAATTGTTTATCTTTTTTTTCCAATGAACAGATCAGTTCACCAGAGGATACTGCAGAAAGTCATCGATTGAAAGAAGAGCTGTGGGCAGTAGAACAAACAATACAGCACAAAGAACGTGTTTTAAGTTCTGTAAGACTTTCTTTTCTTATTCAGTTACCTTTATTTTTAATTAATTATATGTATGGAATTTTAAAATAGAAATATTCAAACTGTTTGTTAGCAAGGGCACTAAGAAAGGTATATCATTCATTACCACAAGTAATTATTAGTCTACATAAACTGTGGTAGGCAAGGATTAAAATAAGAAGTAAGCAGCCTGTGTATATCTGATTTAGGATTTTTAGTTCTGAAACTAACTGTTGAATCTCAAAACAACAAGACATATGAAAGAAATATGTAAGTGATAACATTTCAACTTCTGACTTCTGCTCATGTGCTTTTATGAAGAATTATTTACATTAAAAGTCTCGTGCTGTGCTTGGAATTGTTCCTGTTATAATTTGTCGTTATCACAATATCATGTAGACGTGCTATCTCACAGATAAGGTGTATTATGAACCTGGACATGATACATATAATTATATATACACGAGAAGAGGGAGAGGGAGGTTTATTTTATCATTAATTTGTGAAATGGCTTTTTGAATTATCTATCGACTGTGCTGTCCGATTGTGTAATGTACTTTGCACGATTAAGTTCATTTTCCCATACTTTTCAATACTAAATTGTATCTCTTAACACATTTACTTTTGCTGTGTCTACTAGAGTGAGTTCAGTATTAAAGACAAGAATTAAAAAGAATTGATTGAAGTACTCACCATTACCCACATCCTTATCATTTTATGAAGAAGTGAAAACTTGGACAAAATAAAGTAGCATCATTTAAACCCAGCTATTAAAGTGGCAATTGTCTTAACTGAGCATGATGTGTGAAAGTAACTTGCTTTTATAAGTGTGAATATAACTACACAAATAATCAGTCAGCTTTAATATTTAAGTATATCGAAAGTAGTCTCTACATGTTATATGTATTACAATACTAATTTTCAGGAGGAGGGGGATTATAATGATATAGAAAAACAGTGGTTGCAACAGCTTGAAGAAGAAGAGAACAGTTGGAATGCTGCTGACAGTTCAAAACCAGATGGTAAGTTATTGTCATGTTGGAAGCAAAAAACCATTATCCAGTGGTCAAACTAAAAAAATTGTGATAATGGATAATATCAACTTAACTAATTTTATTGATTGTATTTTTGTGTGGAATGTTCAAGTAATGGAGGTCACAAAAGATAAAATGATACAAGTGTCTGTTGCATTAGTAACCCTATTGAGATGGGTAGGGGTCAGAGGGCATGTCATCATGTTTCTAGATTTACATTCAACATTTTATTTAGCTATTATTTTATAAACGTATGTCAATAGGTTTGGTATCAAATTGTAGATTATAATACACATACACACATGTAATGTATGGAAGCCAATATGTTACTGTATTTTACAAAGTAAAAACTTGAGTTATGTTTCTACTCGTTTACATTGAGGTAGAATAAAAACAAATACAAAACTAAAGACTTGGCAATTCAGGAATAGTTTATATATGTAATTTGTGAACGTCTAAGAAATAAATTTATCACTGATCAACTGATCTTACCCATGAAAAGGAACATCTTTATAAAGGTGTGTATATCAAGGAAAATTTCCATAAAAATGATTCACTACAAAACCAATATTAAAAATAAGAAAATAAGTTTTAGAACACATTAGTTTATTTTCAAATAAAAGGTAATCACATATATATGGAAAACAATGTACATAAAACTGTATGACATAGTGAATATTTGTACAAACAAATAACACATGAAAAGGAACATTATTACTTTAAATACAATGAAAACTTGTGCAAAATTATTTTGTTAACAAAAACCAAAATATAAAATAAGAAACAGAGGAAAAATAAATTGCAGAAACTTTTAACTTCTTTAAAGAATAGCAGTAGTGCGATATTCTTCAAAGTGTTTCACACAAAGAAACTCGTTACAAAGTTTACATTTCATTTGTATCTTGTTGTTAGTAAGACAGTCTTCATCTTTTCCTATCACATTTCTCAACAAGTTTGGGGTAATGCCTTCCATCAGTTAATCTAAGAGTTGAAAAGTCCTGAACAGTCCTTGAAAGTGGTATACCAGAAGGATCTGGTCTGCTTTGAAGCAGAGGCTGAACAAGCCAAGTGACCAAATCCATTCCGAAGACTTTCTGGGACGATGTTGGCTGGTTGGTCTGCATTTTGTGAAGTATGTAAGCATTTACAATTGTAAAGTCCATAAGTCGAAAAAAAAACAGTTCCTTATACCACTTTATCGTCTTTTGTCCAGTAGAATAGTAGTTTATGTGTTGGTCATTCAGGTTCACCACACCCATGAACTTGTTGGAGTCCACAATCAACTGAGGTTTTGTAACTTCAGTGTCTCTCCGTCTTCTTGTCACAGTTGTCATAGTACTAGAGTGAAATATGGAAAGGGCATAAATGTGTCGTTTGTCAATCCATTTTACAGCTGTCAAAGTTCCACATTTAAAAAAACATGCTTCTCTCTCTTGCTTAAGTTTGTAGCTGCCAGTTCCTGTGGGAAATACAATGTTTTTCCTGCATGTCAAGTAAACGAGGGGAAGTGTCAAAATTATCCATGAAAACCCAGTGTCCTAATCTGTTGTACTTGTCCATCAGTTCCATCACAATGTTGTCTGCAAGACCCCTAGCTGGCATTTGTCCCTCTTTGTCTGTGTAGCTTTTTTATTTAAGACAGTATCCACTCATAGCTTCTGCCAGGACCCATAACTTGATACCACACTTGACAGGTTTCTTGTGCATGTGCTGAAGGACACCAATTTTACAGTTTATGTCTGTCTGTAGACAGTTCTCTGTTAGAAGAATTGTGAGAAATACAGAATTTCAGAAGAAGGTCTACAATAGGTCTTACTTTGAAAAGTTTATCATAGTTTGGAGAAGTTTCAGGTAAAGTATTAGTATTGCTATTGAAATGTAAGTATCTATGAATAGCAAAAAACCTGTCCCTAGATAAGGTATTAGTAAACCCATGAGTATGAAAAAGAGGATAAGAAGACCAGTAGTCAGAAAGAGAAGGAAGAGGCTTGAGACCCGTAGCTATAGTGAGATGAAAGTAGGCTAAAATGTTTTCAGTATTAACATTAGTCCATTTCACAGTTGTTTTTTTAAGTTGTTTCATTGGTGATAAATTGTATAATTTCTATCATAAAAAAAAGTTTTAAAAATCAACAGAATCTATAGCAGAGACAACCTGTCAGTAAACAGGTTCACCTCTGATAATGTAGTTTGTTTGTTTTCAACGATTTCTCTCCACCTCCAGGTATTACAAGGGAGAGGTTTCTCCTGTACAGGTTTAGCTCTGCCCCTCCTTCTTCTCCCTGTCCTGACTCTTTTTGGTGGTGGTGGTTCTTAGTGAACTTGCACCAGCTATAACCTGATCTGTCCACAGGACAGAATCATGAAGAGCTGGTTCCATATTTTTCGGCCATTGACTTTTATGAAGAACTTCTGTCAGAGACATTACAAAAGAAGAATCAACTTCTTCAGATGCCTCTGACAGGCCTCCTTCATCAGAAGAAAATGACATATTTAGGAGGAACTCAATTTTCTCTTGTGTCATTGACCTTCTTCAGTTTTTTTGTTTTTTTTTTCTTTAAGTTCAGGTTCCATTACTAGAAGGAAAAAATATAAGGCTTTATTACATATTTTCTATTGCATATCATTACATGTATGTTACACATTGTACATCATCACATTTCTATTGATTAGAAATTCTATATATGTTATAAATGATGATTACTTACTTGCATAAACACCTGATTGAACTTGCAGTTTGCTGGTGAATAATTTGTTTCTCAATTTACAATCAAGAAGGAAGAATACTAGCCCAGCAAAATGAGCCATATTTATATTACTGGAAACTACACATTTATTGGTTACTGTGTAAACATGATAATATAGGAAACAGGACGTTCATAAGCATTTACACCTTTACAAATACTAAATCCCAATCACCAAGTAAGATAACTAGCAAGTTTATTGGATAAGATGCAACTTTATACTTTGTACAGAGCCATATCATAAATATTTTTTCTCACTTTTATAAAGTACTATAGAAAATTTTTGTTGCAACCACTGTATTGTAAAGAAGTTGGCAAATTCTATCCCACTGTGTTCTTGGAGCTGCGATCCGAATAGTTTCTGTAGGATACTTCTGCTTTTTGATTTATTGGATCGGATCGGACCTTCTACAAAGTCATAAATATTTTATGATACTTTAGACAATTGTCATTGTAACCATTATAATGTCAACAAGTTGATATATCCTATCCTGCTGTGTTTTCTAAGCAGGGAAAATTCTGGGAATTGTGCCGCATGAACTTGTTTGATGTTGATAGTGTCAACGTACGGTAACACCTAAACAGGAATGGTTATTCATTACTTTATATTTGGCAGGTTTCTACTTCAGCCACTAACAGTAGAATAACAATAGGAAATAGGTGTAAAAAGATTAGAAGAAACTCTCAGGAGATTTACTTGGAACTTTACTATCCGTACTGAAAAGAACAGAGTACTATTCATTTTGTTCCTTCTAGTTTTTAACTCGCTTACTAGCAATAAAATAACTACAAAAATATCTGTGAAAATGTGAGAGTGTAAACTCTGACCATAAGTACCTTGAAATTTTGTAATCACTACTAACAATACTATACATTTTATTTTGCAACTTTTTTTTTTTAGTTATACTTTGATTACTTACCTACAACCTGGAGAAATAAGTATAATGTTACAGTACAAAGAATAACAAATAAATATAAAGCTTTACTGAAAATATAAATGTTTGATATTTAATTACTGGATTTTTTATTTGTTTTCACTATTTATTATTATACAAGTAACTAAAATCATGAAATTAGAAAGTTGTTAGGTAAGATAATGAAAGAAAAATAATAAAAATGTGGGTGCTCAAGCCTAAAACATCCCACATCTATATCACCTGTCACTGCTTGCAAACAGTTGTGTGAAGGTTCTGCTCTCAGTAGAAGAGAAGTGAAAAATAAATAAGAAAAAGTCCTATGTATGGAGGTGGAAAGAAAGTCTTACCTCCTGAACTTCGTGTTCCAACCCCCATTATGGTAGTAAAAGCTCAAATTAATATGGTAATAGTATTATCACAGCAGACAAATTATACTAGAATGAAATAAGTATACACACACCACACACGCACATGTATTTTTTTTCTGACGTGTAGTTATTTTCTGGTATTTTCCATCTGTCTCTCAGTGTGTAATTTTATTTTCTGTTGAGATGAAATTGCATTCTAAACTAATTCTTTTTCATAAGTTTTCTGAAACATTTATAAATGTGTATACATACTAAAGTCAGATTAAGCCCAATATAAAGTCATTTTCAATGAAAATGACAAATAACTTCAGATATTTTTATATATATATTCTACCCAACATTTCAGTTTATGCCTTTTTGAAGGGACTTTCAATGTCACAGGCTACAAAACCTAGGGTATCTAAAGACTTGAAAAGGTGTAAGCCAAAATATTGGAAAAGTTAAAAGATAATTATCTGAAGTTGTTTTTCTTATCGTTGAAAATGGTTTCCATCCTTCAGTCAACACTGAAAACTAAAACAAATAATAAAAAGTTAAAAACTTCAATTTTAACTAAGCTCAATTACTGTTATATTTAAACTAGTGCTTCCTATAAGTACATGCAAACTATGAAATATTATGTATCATCTTAATTTTCTTTCCCAGAAAAAAATCATTTTGCTTCCATTTGTGAACCAGTTCTTATTAGTACAATACAATGGAAATTCATTTCCATCCAAGTTCAAGCATATTCTCTGTTAGTCATGATATTTAACAGCGAAACAATTAAACTTGTTATTATAGTAGTTTATTTTTCTTTTATTCAATACATTTTAAAACTTAACGTTTCCACATTTTCCAGTCACTATGCAAAACTGAAAGTCTTGTAACTGTCAAAGTGCATTGATTGTGCACATGCTTAGAAATTACTGAAACACTACTGGAAAATTAATAACACTTAAAGTGAAAGTATGAAACTAGATAATAAAAGATTTAAAATAGTAAATTGTATCTAACTAAAGTAAATAAAATGGTCAGGCTAAAGGCTATTAGAAGCCTGTTGCAAAAGAATATTGGTATTAGAAAATATTAAATAATTAGTCAACACAAGATCGCAGCTTGAGATTTCTGTAAACTTCTTCTAAATTTACTTTTTTTATTAAAATACTGTTCTCAGGAATATTAAGAATTGATTTAATATTTAATTTAAATATTTTTTGTCCAAATAATTTTAGCAAGATTAGTTTGAAACAGGCTCATAGTATGAGTAAAAATCAATTATTATTTGATATTATACTCAATATAGTTAAATCAAGAATATAGGGACTTTTCACAATTTATGGTTTTAACTAGTGTAAACCAGTGTTAGCTATAGAATACTATATGAAAATATGTATTAATTTCAGAAGTCAAAGAATACATTACATGCATCTGTTTTTTTTCTTCATTGCTCTTTAAGTGTGATCATTGTGTATGTATATTTGTCTTTATTTTAAACAGAACCCTGATGTTACGTGCATTATGTTTATATCAATATAAGTGCTTTATTTTGCTGAAAAGAAGAACAAACGTCAAATAAGATTAAGCATCTTACTTCTGTTGTTGTTTTTTCAGGTCATGACCATTGTTCAAGCACAAACTGATCTCAAGATGATTCTAGACTCGTGCACACCTGCTGCAACCTTGAAGTAAAATTTGGTGTGAAGAACTTTGTGTGGGCTTTTAACAAATTATTATTATTATGTTTTCTTCATCTTTTTTTTTTCACATGAAAGTTTTTTTTGGAGAGAATTGCACTTATAAATAGTGACAATATGAAACACTGACCTTATAGCAGATGTTACCTGATATTTAATGTCATATAATGTACTGCAATAACAGTTTAGTGTAAATCTGACAGTATCTAACATGAAACTGTAACATTTTTATAATTTCATTGAAACAATGATAATGAATATTACAAAAAATATAACATTTTTGATGTTTACAAGCATACTAAACTCAGTAATACACAAAACCATGAACATTATTTCAGCCTTTTGTTGCAGCATTATGTAAAAATTAACAGTAACTTCTGTGTTTTAACAGTTTTTCTGATATTGTAACTTTGGCACCAATATTTTAATTTCTCTTACAGTATGTGTTTTGTTATACTATGATAAGTGAAACTGAAGTTTAGTTTGTACTTTTTATAATATTGACTAAGAATTATGGCCACTGTTACTCATGCAGTAGCAGATTTATGCTTTTCTTAATACTGCTGTTCAGTGCCATTTGGCATTAATTTGAACCAGTCACTAAGTGACTTTATCTCTTTCTTTATAGAAATGTTGACTAGTCTCTCTACAGTTGTAATTTATCTTACAATAGTAGGTTTCTTTTCCCTTGGTATGTAACTACAGTTTTGTGGTGACAAATTACTTAACACATTTATATCATCTTTGTGGATGCATTATAATGATGTTGATTAGAGTATTTCCATTGTAACCGTGGTGTTGAACGTCAAACAAGTATAATTTTCTAATTACAAAACATAGCTTAATACTCATACAGAGCAAGGGATTAACAGATTTGACAGTGAATTTACTATAAATATTTTGAACAGTTATGGTTGAGTAGCTGCTGACATTTTTTTATTTCTTTATTTACTTGTCATTCAAAGATTTTTGCCTGTTGGTGAGTTTAAAATATGGCTGAAGAAACTTGTATTAAAGGTTCTGTAAAATACATTAGTGTAGAATTATTTCAAACTAATAACTGCTGTTTACAACTTAGACTCATTTTGGAAATCTATAAAAAAAGTCACAGAATTAAACACTCGGTTGTTGTTTTTTTTAAAGTAATTTAATCATTAGGACCAGCAAGGGATTATTTATGGAAAACATTCAAGTTTTGTGGGATAAAAAAGTTCTCTAAATTTATTACTGACATTTTAAACAGCATTTGTTTAATATGTAAATAGCTCCTCTTGAAGTAAACATGAAACTTTCAAAAAATTTTAATGTTTTTTATCCACAGTTTTGAAAAGGGGGGTGCATGTTTTTTTTTGTATACAATTGAAACTAAGCTTAAGGGATTTATCCAAAACTTCTGAATAAATGCCTCTGTTTAATATGCACATTGTAGTAAGGATCAGAACAAAATTGTTTGAATAAGTAGGAGCTGAAGAGGTAGTATCAGCTCACTCGTAGATATCATAGAATCAGTGTTATTGGTGACTCACACTAAGATGTTATGCTAAAATCATGCAGAATTGTGCTGAAGAGAGTTTGTAATTTGATTAAACATGATTAACATTTCTAGTTGTGGAAAGGTAAATGATCCAAGTCAATTAACCTGTTTTTACAATATCATTATGTTTTTAAGAAATGTTTTAAATTCTGTAGCAGTTGTAATTTGAAATGTGTATGCTTAAAAATCTTCATGCTTTATGTGGATTTTTATCAAATTTGTCAGAACTGTCTTCTTCACAGCATCAATCTCTTACAGTGGCTTTCTTATTCTGTTCTTGTTTGTTTTTGTTTTTTAGGTTTACATTACTTATCTTTTTTTGTTCAATGTACAAGTATCTCTGTTCAGGATTAAATATACTGTACATATAAAATTTATTACTATATAATGAGGATAAATTTAGAAATTAAAATGTAATTATTGAATTGTTCAAGATGTGTAAGAAATGTTAGCATAGAGTTGTTAATCAGAACATCTATCACAAAACTAACTACTAGCTATTTGGAAGGATCTTAATGTTGTTTGGTTTTGTAAATGTATTTGTAATATTGGTGAATGGATAAGAGTATTGCAAGCTTGATATATTTTCTTGGCAAGTATCTGCAAAAAAAGAGATAGCTACAGATTTATAGAAGAAATTAAGGTCATGTTTAAGACCATGTGAAGTGATTAAATATGTAGTATTGTGTTATGAATCTGAGGATAAAGAAACATCAGATTTTGTAAGATAATTCAAGAGTATAGTATTTCAAAACTTTGGTTATTCTGAAGCCATCAGCTCGTATGTGGTAACCAAAAGTAAACAAATCACACTTTTAATGATGTACGAACATTTTTTGATAAAAGATTCAGAGTTTTTTTTAGATTTTGAGAAGTGAATTAAAGGTTTTTAAGAGTTCTTCAGAATTGTAGAATAATCTGAAGTTCAAATATCAATAATTTTGGAGTGATGTAAATGTTAGTTGCTACACATCTAGGATTATCTGAGTGTCAGAAGTTTTATGAAGTAGACCTGAGGGTCGTTAATTGCTATATTTTGTTGGGTGATCTGAGGGTCAGAGATTATAAGACCTTCTGGGTTTATTTGAGGGTCACAGTTTGTCAGACCTTGTGGGGTAACCAAATGTTCAGAGACTTTCCATGAAGGTTTTCTTTTCTTTATCTACGTTCACATAAGGACGATTTGACTTTAACTATCTATCTGTGTCAAGCAACTGACTACAATATAGTAGCTAAATGTTCCAGAATGGATACTTTTGACATGTAACTTTTTTATGTGAAAGTGCATGTTTTTTTATCTGGTTGGTAGACAACCGGGAAATATAGTTTCTGGGAAATTAATTCATCCTGGGGAAATACTTGGGATGGCAATATCATTAGGTGCATTTGTTCCCAAACAGTTTTGTTGATGTTCAGAATGTTCTGTACCATGTAATGGTTTGCTACAACCCAAAATCTTATTTGTAAGAGTGGTACTACCAATGGTAATGGCAGATGCTTTGCTAGGATCTAGCCTTTTGAGTGTTCTTCCCTAGAAAGAAAAATTGTTCATATACATTTGGGATTTCAATAAAGCATCTGAAGAAACACCTTTTGATTTCATAGTTGTATTTTCTTTATTTAGTTATAACACAAATGTAATATCTTCACCAGTAAATTATGCTTTAGGAACAAGTTAGCATGTCACTAAATAATATTTACTTTATGCTATACAAATTTCTTGATTTCTATTTATCAAACACATAATGTTAATTGTAACAAAACAAGTAAGAGTTAGTGGTAATTTTTATGTATACATTTAGCGGATTTATGTCTAATTCCAAGTTAAGTAAAACTAAATGCATAGAAATTAATACACACATAAGTATATGAATAGAAAGGACAAAAAACATTAGTTTTTGGTTTTTTTCATCTTCAGCTGTCTTCTCTGGTTTTCAAAACAAAAATTTAAATATGGTGACTTCAAAGTTATAAGTGTTGCTTTCAGAATGCAACAGGTGTATATATATATATAATTTAGTCACTGTGTTTTAAAATCAATATATTTTTATTTAAAAACCTGTAAAGTAGTTTATAAACTGAAAGACTGATTAAAGCTTTCCACAAGAATAGATGGCAAACTTTATATTTTTTCCAAAGAATTATTAAATTAAATGCTTTTTTAAAATTACAGAACATATTTAAAATATAATATGAGTAAAAGCATACTTAAAAAGATGCATTTTGTATAGCAATAACTTAAATACACCCTATTGGTGATTACTTTTTATGTGTTATTTTTCTTACATCCAACTGTGATCTGTACTTAACAACATAGATGAAACAAGTCTTGTTCTAGTATTTCATAATGCTTTGCCTTTTTATTATGAAATTAACATCCAAGAAAATTAAATAGCAATTTTTTTCACTCATTTTTTGCAGTATTGGTTGGGTAGGCAATTGCTAAAAAGTCTGTAGATAATTTTTGCAGAATATTCATAAAAAAAATATTCTTAGGACATCTTTATAATGTCATTGTGTTATTTTTTTAAGAAAATCTACAGAAAATATTCAAATAAATTGCATCCTAAGCAAGATTAAAAAGTTAAAGACTGGTAAAACATTTAATATCTTTTGAATGAGGTCCCTAGTGGGACAGCTGTAAGTTTACAGATTTACAATGCTGAAATCTGGGATTTGATTCCCCACAGTGGACACAAAAGATAGCCCAATGTGACTTTGCTCTAAAACAAACCAAAACACTTTAATAATTTCAAGAGTTATTGAACAATTTTTTGTATATATTTGTCTTAAATTTATTAGTATATGTACAGATAGTGGACAAAAAATGGAAACACCTGGATAAATGAGGGACAACAAATATATGCAATGTAGAGGCTACCACACAGATATAGCTCATCCATTAGTTGAGCAAATAGCATCACAGCATTCATAAGGTCATGTATAAAAATGCTGAACAGGCCTGGTTACCTATAATCATGGCTGCAAGAGGACTTAGTGACTTTGAAAGAAGGGTGTATTTGGCGGGAGCTTCAGTGACCAAGACACCTCAACTTGCTGATGTTTGATGCGGAACGGTATCTAAAGTGATGTCAGCATGGAACTTCAAGGGAAAGACATCATCAGAAAAAGACAACAGTGGGTGGAAGCACATAAAAGGCAAACAACCGCAAATCAGTTGACTGCAAATTTCAATCTGGAGCGAGAGCAGCCAGTTTCATCAAAAATGGTCTACCAAGAACTCCACAGAATAGGATACCATAGTCGGGTTGTGGTGCACAAAACAGTCATCATGTCTGGCAATGCATGGTTGCGCATCCAGTGGTACAAAGAGCAAAGGCTATGGACTACCAAGCAGTCGAGAAATGTGATATTGTCAGATGAATCATCCTTCACAATGTTCTTGACAAATGGACAAGTGCATGTATGGTGCCAACCTAAAGAACTCTACAGCCCTAAGTGCATGGTCCCAACAGTGAAGGGTACTGGTTGTTCCGTAATGGTGTGGATGCATTTTCGTGGCATGGTTTGGGTGATCTCATACCCTTAGTAGGCAATGTTGATGCCAATCGTTACTTAATGGTACTGAGTGATCATCTTCACCTTATGTTACAGCATTTCTGTTCTGCTAAGAGGGGTGTCTTTCAAGATGACAGTGCACCATTCCACGGAGCACGAGTAGTGCCCAATGGTTTGAGGAGCGTGACTATGATGTTATCCATATGTCATGGCCTTCTCAGTCACCAGATCTGAACCCAATCGAGCATGTATGGGATATTCTAGAACGATGCCTGAGACAGTGTTTTTCACTTCTATCAACTAAGCATGAGTTGATTGACTTTCTCATGGAAGAGTGGTATCGCATTCCTCCTGCAAAATTTCAAATGCTGGTAGACTGCACATACAGGCCATACTGACCACCCTATTAAGTGACTTTACATTGGTGTTTCCATTTTTTTGGCCACTACCTGTATATGAAACATACAATGATGACAAAACCTTGTCGAAACGTTGTACATTTGCTGTTATGTTAAACTTATATTAAAGTTTTTCTTCATTACCCATTCAAGCCGTCTCCAGCCATTATACAAGAATTTGATGTTATTTCGTGTGTAGTTTTTATTCTTTTATGTTCAAAAGTCCATATAAAACATTTATTATACAGAGTGTGTATATATACTGTCTGTCTTTTTATCCTTTTTTTTTTTTTTTTAGTTTTTCGTGTTTTTAAATTTAGAACAAATGTTTATGCTCTTTCTTAAAGTTATATTTCTCATTGTTCATAAGAAAAATTAGTATATTATGTCAGTATTTTAACAGTGATTTTTAGCATTCTTCATGTAATATAAATCTTTAGTATTTATATATTAATATTTGTTTTATATTCATTCTGTCATTAAATTTAATTTACTAAATAATCAAGTTAGATTTAAAGTGTGTGCTTTTTATTGTATGTAACTTAAGTTATGAGGAATAATTAATTATATTAGATCAGCTTGGCCTTTTTGTAGAGGTCTGAATTTTAGAGCTGGTGAGCCAGGTTCAGATTCTTGCAATACTGCAAAGTATTCCCCAAACTTTAAACTATGGGTGCATTATAAGATTGACAATCAATCTCTTAGTGTAGGTGGTAGGGAGCTGTTGACTGGGTGTCTTCCCTCTGGTCAGGACCCACTATATTATAGCGAGAAGAAATCTCAGAAAGAGATACTGGGAAATGCAAAATCAGAAGAAAGAAAAGATATGGAAGGAAATCAAGAAGGAGGAGATCAAATTCTTCTAGCAACATGTTAAGTTCAGATAGCAACAAGAAGTTAAAATATCTACATGCCAGTGGAGATAACACTTTGTGCAATTATTAGAAGGAGATGAGACAAATACTCCAACACGAAGTGTAACCATTTGAAAATAATGAACTGTATGCTGAATTTGAACAAAAGAATTGACTAAGGCAATTAAGAAACTGAAAAATGTAAGTTGCCAGGTGAAAACAAGGAAATTAATTTTCCAACTATTCAAAGATATCTGGAAGAGTGGGATCGCCCCTGAAAGTTGAAGACATGGACTAATTTGTCCAATCTACATGACTGGTGAGAAGGACAACCCAAGTAATTATAGAGGAATTACATTAGTTAACACTGGGGGATCTCCCCTGAAAGTTGAAGACATGGACTAATTTGTCCAATCTACATGACTAGTGAGAAGGACAACCCAAATAATTATAGAGGAAATCACATTAGTTAACACTGTATAAGATATTGGCCAACATGATGACTAAAAGGCTTATGGACTGGCTCAAAGAAGAAGGCTAATTAAGAAAAACCAAGCAGGATAAGAATCAGTCTACCTGACATTACTATGTAGATAGTGGATATCAGAATGAAAAAACATAATGAAATTGCTGCAGTGGTGAAATTCTGCCAGTACTCATGAGTAGCGGAACTTATTTTTTTGAGCTGCTTTGTCATTTCTTTATATTTACACATAGATTTTTTCTTATTTTTTATTAAAACAGGTCCATTTCACCCAGCTGAGTACCTCTACTTTTTTTTTTGAGAACTTCACTCCTTAATTGCTGACATCCATCTTGTCTGTGAATCTTATGATCATCCCAAGGTATTTGAATAGTCCAGCCCAAAAACAACTCTTGCTGCTGTCTTTTATTCTTCACTGATTCGTAAATAAAATTAATTCTACCTTAACACTATTGTTCAGAAACAATTGATGGAGGCTGGTGCCCACAGAAATGCTGATTCTGAGGACTAGCTTTTAAATGACGTGTTCAGCAATTAAGAACTAGTTCAACTAAGAGTGTCATGACATTAAGGGATTGGGAGGAGGGGGCAAAAAAGACTGGTCTCATTTGAGCCCCCCCAATTTCAGCTGGGGCTCTACACTGTGACATAATTAACATCCCTGAGTTAAACAATTATTTGAATATAAAGTTATGTAGGTTTCTTCAAGCTCTGTTACTTAATACACAATCAAAGTAACATGTATGTTAGCAAAACTTGCACAGGATAGCAGTCACTGAGATAAGATTCAAACATAGCAAAAGACATTTACCTAATAATCAAAAGACATCTAGAGTGTAGTTAATAAAGAATATTCCCAAGACATGTGAATACTCCTAATAGATTAAAGCTATACAGTACCTGGACATAATGTAAGAGAATATAAAAAAGTTTGTATTAGAAAGAAAACACCAAATATACCCAGATATTATTTGTAATAACATACAGAACAGCTTGTCAGAGATGCACAATTACCACCCATTCTTTCTTTGTACCTTTTATCTTTTTTAGATATTTTATATTGTTTGTTTTATTTTCCTTTCTGTGATCTTCATGTAGTCTATTCTTATCTGCTCCTTTTAATAAGTTCACTACTTTTGTACAACATTTGCCTCATTTTTTGCACTTTTTTCAACCAAGTCTAGTTTTTCGACGCTACATACTCCATTTTATCTTTTTTTTTAAGTACTGTACATACCTGGAGATTTGTAGTAGTCTATGTGTCCATTTCCATGTGTTTACTACTTTGTTCACTCATTCCAAGGTTTTGGTGACTCTAGCTGTGAGTTTTATTTATGTTTTTTTATCTTGTCCTCTTTGATACCATAATCTCCTTTTGATTGATCCGTTTTATCCTAATTGATAATACTATATATTATTTTGGTCTGCTTTATGTATTTTCTTAATTTTGTATTCATAACTAATACTATATCTGCTCTCTTTTTTTTTCTTTCTGGTATTCTTTGATTTCAATGTAATTTTGCTGGTGCCTATTTTATTTTTATCGGTTTAGAGGATGTTTCATTAAATTGTAATTTTTAGATCTTGTTCTACCAGAATTACAGATCAGTTATTTCTCTAAAGTTATTAAAGATTTATTCTTGAGTGTCTGGGACTTTAACGGTATTATCATGTTCTTCAAAAGCTCATTAGAAATTTATATAATAGTGTGACAGTAAGGCATGGAGGCCGTTGGAGCTCGACTTTACCACCACTCACAATAGATTTATATTAAATCTGGAATTACAATCGCAAGTGGAGTACACAAGTCACTAACTCGAGGAAGTTTACGGTTAGAATAAATAATGAGACTGAGATTCCACAGTTAAAGCATGCTACCTGCTCATTTCTTTTTTGTTTCTGTTTTTTTGTCATGTGCCCAACTTTGCCACAGTTAAAATACTGCGGAAACGGTATGTCTTCAACAATTATCTATTTTGAGTTAGCTAATGAACATTTGACTAAAGCTGCTGAACGTAGAGAGAATGAAGCAAATAAGAAGGCACAAGCTAGTAACATAAGGTTAGGGGACAAAGTATTGCTATACACTCCCATTGTTAAGAGAGGACACACAAAAAAGCTAGCAAAATTATGGAAAGGTCGTTTTAGATTTCTTAAAGAAACAAGGGCGGTTAATTTTGAGATCTATGGAAAGGGTAAACAGTTAGTGCATGTTAACAGGTTAAAGAAGATCAAGGAGTATAAGCCTTATCAGTGTGAATGTGTAGCTGATGAAACCAAAATAGATGAGATAAGCAAAATGAGTATGTAAAAATATAAACTGATAACTCAAATGAGATTTACGTATCTCTTGACGATGAGTAAAGTACACAGCGTGATCACAAGTAAATAGACACCACCTTTTCAGAAAAAAATGAAAATTTTTAGTCATATTCACATGAATTGATATATCTATAATTTAATATCTAGTAGATCTTCCATTCGCTTCATGGAGTTCGTTGATCCTTTGGGGCATCGTGAGAATCATCTCGTCAATTTTATATTGTGGGATTTTCGCTCACTCTTGCTTCAAAACTTGGAGAAGATCGCTCTTC